CTTCCCTGGCTGTAAATATTTCTGCAGCTCCGAAGCTTCTTTGACCAAGGCCCAGTGTTAATTTGTTAAATCCACATCAAGGTCCTGGGGACCCGTTGTTTATTTTTGTGAACGTGTTGGCAGAGATCACATTAGGCGTGGGGGGCTGGTGGGGAGCGGGGAGGCTTATTCGGTCAGAATAAATGCTAATTAATAAAAGTTATTTATTTGGGTTGGAGCTCACTGCTGCCCCGGGGTCAGGCCCAAACTGACTATTTGAAGCAAAAACAAACAGAGAATGTCTCTCAACAGCTTGAGAAAGGCAGAAACGAAGAGAGGCTGCGTTTATTTGTTTTATGAAGAATTTGCAGTTAATTCCCTCCAGACTATTTAGACCCTTAAATTACATGGAATAAGAAAAACCATGGGTGCAGGGAAGAGAAGCCAGGAACACTTGATCATCTGGCCGAGAGCGGAGTTTTTAAATGTCTTTGGCCCGCAGTCAGCCAAATAAATGGTATGTGTGAAATAATTGAATGGCAGAAAACGGTGCACCAGCCTTTTTTTTTTTTGGAATGTAATCGGGGATGAAGTAATTTTGGTTTAAAGGGAGAAAGAGTGCAGTAGGCCTTCCCCATCTGAATACATTTATCTCTCCCCCTATCCAGCCTCTCAGAACAGCCTCTAAACAGCCAGTGTTGAGGGAGGCAGTTTCAGGCTTTATTTTTAATCCTAGAGAAAAGCAGAACTTTGATGGAGCAAAAGGAAGCTTTGGGCACAGCCTGACTCTACAGAGCCGGCCCCGACGCTCCCTGGACTGAGGCTTAGTAAGTTTTTATTTATTTTCCAAATGCTTTAAGTCCTGGCATGGAGCCCCCAGAGGGACACACACGCCCACCACAATCCATTTATCAGGAGATGATTCAGGAACTTACGGTCACAAATATCCCCCACATCCTCTGGGAAGCAGAGGCCAAGAGCCCTGGCTGAGTCCAAAGTTCACCTTAAAGGTGCTGCCCGAATCTCCTCTGCCTCTGCCCGCAGCAGGGCCCGCAGACCCATCTTTTCTACCGTGTGCTGGGGTGAGAGGGCCAGAGGGCCAAGAGGAAGATCTTTGTCTTCCAGCGTGAAGCGGGTGGCACACAAGCAGCAATGCCAAGGGCAGCGACCATTCATCAAGCAATTACTATGCTCTCAGCACCACTGCGTTAAACTCAGCTCCTCCCAGGACCTTCGTGCCCTTGGGCAAGCCCCTGTTCCCCACAGCTCCCAGAGGTGAGGTCTTCCTTTACAACAAAGAGATGCTCTGGGGAGTACTTCCCACAGCTGGGATGGCGAATAGCAGGCTGGAGGCCCCTCTCTGTGGTGCCTCCCAAGCGGGGACTGAGGGTGTGACAGATCCCTTGTGACCTTCCCAGGAGCGAGGTAGGCAAAGGAGGCCTTCACAGCCTCCCTGGCTGATCCCTGTGCCAACGTGGACTACCAGCCTTGGGCAAGCCACTCTCAGGGCGTCAGTTTCCCTGTGTGTAAAGTGGGTCAACGCCTCGTGGGGGGCAGCGGAAGCCTATGGAAAGCCTGGCGCCACTCCTGGCCCAGACCAACTTTTGTTGGGCGAATCCCACCAGAGCAGCTGAGAAGTGAGCCCAGGAGCGGGCTGGCCCTGGACCACCACGGAGAACAGCTGGTGTGGGGTGAGGGGGTCTCGGATTGTTGGGGAGTTGGCGATAAATGCCTTTGTGTCAGGGTTTCACCACGCAGTTTAACTGGCCAAAGAGTGGAGTTTCTTCCGGTGCCCACTTGGCGGAGCGAAAGCTGCAAAAACGGTTTTCATTTAAACGCCCTCAGTTTTGAATTGTTCAGAAACTTCCCGAAAAAGTCTCCTTTTTTGGCTGAAATGCCTCCTGTGTTGGGTGTGTGCCCAAGCTGCGTTGCCTGAAGGGGGCCGGAAATCGACTCTGCAAGTACTGGTGTTCCAGAAGCTTCCTTTCCCGCTTTTGGGCTATTGATCACAAGCTGGTTTTCAGCGCACGGGCCCTCATTTCGGTTTAAGGTTTCTCTCTGCTTAATGGTCGGGGCTTGGGGTGGAGAGACATTCACAGGCACCAGACATTCTCATCCATCCTCGCCTTTTCTTGGAGGAAAGGGGTGAGGAGTGAAGGCTGAAGCCGATCCCGGAGCCGAGACCCACCCGCATGAGGCCATCCAGTTCCCGCCACTGCCGCCCCACCCCCATAAGTATTTCTCAAAGGGAAAAAGTACTGAACAGAAACTCCGGTCATCCCTCCAAACCAGCTTTCTCAGGCTCAGCACGATGGACACTGTGATAATTCTCCCATGTGCGGGCCTGTCCTGGGTACTGAAGGATATTTGGCTGCACCCACAGCCTCTGTTCATTCGATCCTAGTTGCACCCTCCTCCCGACCCTGTCCTGACAATCAAAAGTGTCTCCAGACACGGCCAGATGTCCCTTGGAGGCAACATTGCCCTCATTTGAGACCCACTGGTCCAAACCCAGCTGTAAAGGCGGTTTTCCCTGGTGCCCCCCCTGATTCTGCTTGGCGAACCTCACCCCCACCCTCCATTCTCCCCAAACAAACATCTGTCAGGTTTATGGAACAATTCAGCCTCCAATTGAGTTAGGTGGTTGCTTAAGAGTCAGTAAACCCTGCTAAACTGGAAACTTGCTTAAAAGCAGGGATTAAGTGGAATCCATCACGGGGCCTAGAATGTTCTAGATGCTCAGGTGAACAAATGCCCAGCACTGTGCAAAGACATAGGATGTTTTAAAGTGAATGTGTAACTGGGGAAGCAAAATATAAGGTATGAACTAAAATCTAAAAGATTGACAATATGCTCTGTGAGCCAAACTGCACACATAGACCTTCGCATACACCGCTGGTGGGAAGCCTTATGGGGGATTTGGCCACATCTAGTGTTTTACGCATTGGCCCAACTATCCCATCTAGGAATCGATCCCAAACATGCACTGGCGAAAAAAGAAAATCCTCTTTGCCCCAGGTTATTCACTGTGGCATTCTTTTGATTGCAAAAGATGAGAAACACACCAAGAGCCCATCATTAGGGCTCCAGTTGAATAAACCACAGTAAAATGCTCCAGAACCGTGAAAAGGGACGCCCATGATTTCTATGCACTGGGTGGAGGCTTCCCCGGCATATACTGCTAAGTAGAAAAAAGTGAAGTACAGAACGGAACATGGTATGTTACTTTTTAATACAGGAAGAGGAGAAAATCTTATATATAATTTTTATTTGCAAAAAGCAATGCTGGAAGGATAAAGAAAAAACTAGTTTAAAAAAAAATGGGCTCCTATGGGTCGAGGAAGGGAGTAAGAGGGAAAATAGAGTGGAAAACAATGAAAATAAACAGGGTTAGGGTGGTTGTACCGAGAAGGAATGATATTATTAAATAAAGACAGGCAAGCTGAAGCACCAGTGTGTTCAGCATGATCTCATGCTTGTACATGTTTTTAAATGCAAGTTTGTAATCTTGTAAAGCCAGGAGAGTGGAGTTGGGGAGAGTGGAGTATGTTGTTTTACTCTTTACCCTTCTCTGGTTGAATCTGTTACTGTAATAAGAGTCATACTACTTTGTTATTAAATTATACATGTTTAGTAAGAAAATCAGCTACGTAGGGAGTGCTGAAGTGGGCAGCGTCATTCCTAAGGGCCAGGGGAGCACCCTAGTGGGCAGAGGGTCCACGTGGACTCCAGCGGTCAGGGAGAGCCCCTTGGAGGAGTGAGCAATCGTCAGGGCCCTGGGGATCACAGGGCAGGCAGTCCTGCCCCTGGATAAAATTTAAATGTGGAAATAGTAGCTGAACACCCCCAAACTTCTCCCAAGAAACAGGATGGACCCGAGGGTGACAGTCATTGGCCCCATGCCTTCCCCAGGGTTGTGCTGGGCATTCTTACCTGAGCTCCTAGCCCTGCAGCACAGGCCGGCACAGAGCGAGAGCTTCCCCTCCGTTCCTTCACACCTCTGACGCCTTGCCTCAGATACCTTCCCTCCCTTCCTCTGGTCTGGCTGGAAAACTCTTTTTCATCCTTCAAAACCTGGTTCAACCATTACCTCTCCTGAGGAACCTCCCCAGGACATCTCGCCGCAGTGCACCAGGGCTGAGTGTGCTCCTGTGCCCTGGCATAGCCCTTACCCTGTGGAACTAGATGCCTTATGCTGCGGCCTGCCTCCCCTGCTGATGAATCCGTCTGGTTCATTTCTCCCCAGTATCCAGCACAGTCTCTGGTACATAGTAGGTGCCCAGGTTGCTGAAAGATGCCCTTTTGCATTTTGGGCCCTCTGGAAGCTGTTCTGAGCAGTGCCAGATTGGTGGTTCAAATCCCTCCTCCACCATTACTTGCTGAATCCCCCTTCCTTCTCCCTCTGTAAGCTGGGGGTGATGAGAATGGCAGCCAATGTCTACAGGACTCCTGTGAACCTCCAGTGATCTGTGGACACTAAAGAGCCTGCGTGCTGAGGCCCCTCAGAACTGTCATCCCTCTGCTCATTATTATGCATATTATATCAACAACAAATATTGATGGAGACTTTACTGCACCCCAGAGCCTGGGCCAGATGCTGAGGACACGCGGGTGTCTTCTGGGCCCTCACTGACCAGGTCAGTTGCCCTGTGGCAGCAGGTGCCTGTTCCACCCCCTGCCCAGCTCCACAGGATAGGGGTCTAACCGCTCTTGTTCACCATTATATTCCCCCTTGGACCCTAGCACTGTGCCTGCCACATAGCAGATGCTCAGCAAATTGTGTTGGAAAATGAATGGATGAATGAAGGAGTACGTTAAAGGGACATGCTCCTGTTCTTGGGGCTGCAGCATCTTTCTGCAGCGGGAGACAGACACAAGCAAAGCGCTTGCTGTAAATTGCTGAGCTGGTCTGAGTGTGACCGCGCTGGCCCCTCCTTGAGCAGAGGCGGCCTGGCCGGCAGGGGGCGCGGCAAACACCGTGCACCGCCCGCCGCGTTGCTGACCCTCGGGCCCCTCCGCAGGTGAGTGTCCCAGCCCGGGGCGTGGCGGCGCTGCCAAGCGGAAGAAGAAGCAGCGGCGGAACCGCACCACGTTCAACAGCAGCCAGCTGCAGGCGCTGGAGCGAGTGTTCGAGCGCACGCACTACCCCGACGCCTTCGTGCGTGAGGAGCTTGCCCGGCGTGTCAACCTGAGCGAGGCGCGCGTCCAGGTAAGCGCTGCCCATCCGTGGGCCCCCCGGGGGAGCGTGCAGCCCCCATTCACCCAGGGTTATGGAGTTGCCCAAGAGAGGTGTTCAAAAGCAGGCGCATCTGACGCCTGGAGGGCTGAGGTCCAGCCCAAGACCTGCCACTTACTGGCTGTGTGACCTTGAGCAAGTTACTTAACTTCTCTGTGTTTTGGGTGCCCATAAAATGAGAATTATGTGTCTATTTTTTTCCTTTTTTTTAAAATTAAGGTATCATTGATATACACTTTTATGAAGGTTTCACAAGAAAAACAATGGTTATTCCATTCACCCTCATTATCGAGACTTCCTCCATACCCCACTGCAGTCACTGTCCATCAGTATAGTAAAATGCCACAGAGTATGTGAGTCTATTTTGTAGAGTTATTATGAGAATTAAAGGAGTTGATATGTTTGTAAGGTGCTCAGAGCAGTGCCTGACACAGAGTTATGATAAATAAAAGTTGTTGTAAAGAGCTAAGTGCTACTGCGTGCCAGCCCCATGCACAATGCTCAGCATGCTCCCTCTAATTACAACCTCACAGCGGCCAAGTGCTCATTTTGTCCTTCCTTCACCCCTTCCCTTGCCCATTCTCCAACACATAGTTACCCAGATGCAGGCACCATTTATCACCCCCATTTTACAGGTGAAGAAAGTGAGCCTCAGAGAAGTGAGGCTGCCAGTCCAGAGCTGGTGGCAGAGCAGGCACACACCAGCCCAAAGGACTTGGGTCTCCTTGGCACCCACAGCACCCCGCTCAACACGGTTTTCCCACCTCCAGGTCTGGTTTCAGAACCGCCGGGCCAAGTTCCGCCGAAATGAGCGGGCCATGCTGGCCAATCGCTCCGCCTCGCTGCTCAAGTCCTACAGCCAGGAGGCCGCCATCGAGCAGCCCGTGGCTCCCCGGCCCACCGCCTTGAGTCCAGATTATCTCTCCTGGACAGCCTCGTCCCCCTACAGGTGAGAGGGGGCAGCAGCCACAGGATCCTACAGGGCCTTTTGGGCCCTTCTTTGAGGATCTGAAGAGAGCTGTGAACGGTGCCCAGGTACCCCTTGGACCTGGCATCCACCAAGCAGCTTGTGGGCAAATGTGTGCTTGTGTGCTCACCAGTCTACACATGTGTGTGTTATAAGAGTATCTGTGTGCATTGCATGCCTGTGAGCATGCACGCACAGGAGTGTGTATGCACTTCCACACCAGTGTGTGCATGTGTATGCATAGGAGTGTATTACACATATGTGTGCACATGAATGTAAGCATGTGTGTGAATGTGTGGAGGGGCAAGAATACAAGGCCTGTCTAGAGGGGGGGCAAGGAACCCACATCGCCCCAAGGAAGCCGACAACCTGCAGGAAGATTCTTGGCTGGCACAAGAGCCCAGCGAGAAGCTGAGGCTGAGAGGACTGAGGGAATGGCCTTCTTGTCCCAGGGGCCTGGCTGGGGTCCAGAGCCAAGTTCTGGGGCATTTTGCCATGATCAAAGCTGGAAAAAGGTAGCAGGACAGGAAGGAAGAGGGAGGCGATGCTAGAGGGTTCTGTCTCTATATCTGACAACTCCAGGGGGCGCCATCCACCCCACGGTCTGTGTGAGCAGCTCTGCTGGAGCCGTGAGCTTGGGGGAGGTGAGATCCAGCAGGTTGGCTTGTGGGGTCTGAGCCCTAGTGACGCCCACGTTGGCCTCCCAGCTCTCCCAATTCCCTGCCTGGCCTGTCCTAGGAGGGGGCAGGAGGTGACCAAGAGGCATCTTTACATACAAGCGGATGTTCCTTTCACCTCTGTCCTGCTGTGAGCCACCCCCATAGCAGGCCCTGCTCTCAGCAAGCTCCTGGTCCTGGTCCAGCCAGGAATGCCAGTGCCAACTGGGGGTGCTTCTGACTCCTCCCCAAGTCCTGCAGCCCCAGGCCACTCCCACCCCTAGGGGAAGGGTTTCCAGGAAAGCAAGCCCAGGAGGGGAGGCAGAAGGACCAGATGCCAGAGTCCAGGACTGGCGGCCGGAAGCAGCCAGCTCTAGGCAGCACAGCAGAGCACCACCATATGCCCTTGTGTCCTGTCACCCCCAGCACAGTGCCGCCCTACAGCCCTGGAGGCTCAGGTGCCGCAACCCCAGGAGTCAACATGGCCAACAGCATCGCCAGCCTCCGTCTCAAGGCCAAGGAGTTCAGCCTGCACCACAGCCAGGTGCCCACGGTGAACTGACGGCCGGCCCCACCAGGACCCAGCTGCCTCCTGACCTGACAACAGGAGAAAGGGCAGATATGCAGGGAAGTGACCTTCTCCTGTCCCCTGTCCCCAGGACAGGCTGGTTGGGCTCTCCTGGCCCCTCTGCAGCCCAGACTCCTGGGCCTGAGAGGCTGCTGGCATGCCTGGAACCTGGCTCAGCGCCTCACCCACGGCCGCGCGAGGCTCCAGCCTGTGACCCTCGGAAGGGCTGGGCCGGAGGTGGAGCAGGAGCTCCCCAAGGACCACACTTACTTTGTGTACTAAAACCAAAAAGCTTTTGTCTCTAAGAAATAAAAAGTTTTTAAGCCCAAAAGGTTGCGGGAGGGCAGATAAAGGCAGCAAACCAATGAAGGTGCGGCCTGTGGGGCCTGCTCTGGCCGGAGCGGTCCTGGGGTTTTGCCCTGGGCCTAGCTCAGGCCAGCAGCCCCGGCATGGCCAGCCACCCTCATAGCTGCGCCTGCTTCTGAATGAAGTCCTTTGTCACCCCGCAGAGCCCCAGGGATGCCAAGTAGGGTAGGAGGACAGGGACCTGCCCTGGACCCCATGGACACTCAGTTGTTTGGGAAAGACCCTTCTGTGTTATTCTGGGCAGGACTGCTTCCCGTGGGCAGCGAGTGTCTCCTCTGCCCTGTGGTGGGAGGCAGGGTGGTGGCTATGGATTCCTGGACTGCCAGGCGGTGTGTGGCAGATACTGGAATTAAATCCTTGTCTCTGGGCATATAGAAGGTGTGGCACCCCTCTGCATATTTGACTGTGGAGGGGCCTGGACAAATGGCCCAGAAAGTGGGGGTCCCAGGTGGGCTTACGGGACAGAGGAGTGGTCCTAATAGCCAAGGCCACCAGGAGACCTTCACCCCAGTCCTCAACCCACCCTTTTGCAGAAAACTGGGGGTAACAAAGGACACGTGCCACCACCCAATGATATCATAAGGCACCTGCAGAGAACTGTGGGGCAAGACTGGTCTGAAGAGCCCCCTCTGCGTGGCCGCATGCCATGCCTTCTGATGGGCACACCCTCCAGGGAAGATAAGAGATCACTTCTGCTAAAAGTAAGCTCAGCCAGCCCCCAGGAAGTAGGACAGCATCCCCGGCCCCCAGTGCGTGAGATGATCAGCCTTCGGGAGGGGCAGCCTAAGTGGAGTTAAGAGGCTGGACCTCTGCCCGTCTGCCCCGCCCACCCCCCCATCAAAGTGTCCCCAGAGTACCAGCCACCCCACCCCCAGCCTACATCTAGAGGACTTGGAACAGGTCAAAGCCACATGACAAGCCTTGCACAAGGGTGGTCCCTATTTTTTGTTGTAGAAGTTATGGTTACCATACCCATGAGTGGGGTGGGGACCCCTCCCAACTCTCTAATTCACCCCGATATTCCTCCCCTGCTCCACTTGGAATTCCACCATGAAAATGGGGTTCTTGTGGGTTGAGCTTTGCCCCCTTCGGATGTGCAAACATGCCTGGGACACTCACTGTGTGACTTCTTGTGGCTGGACGGTTGGGACTCTGGTCACAGGAGAGTGTGGGGCCCTGGGAAGGTGGAGGGAGGCACAGGCACCCCTGAAGGCATGGGGAGGGCTCTGTGCTGCTGTCCTGAGCTGGCCCAGGCCCACCTGCCCACCGGGGCCAGAGCATGGGGCAGACCTGGGCCCTGGTTGGAGGCTGGGGGTGGTGCAGCCAGAGCTGTGTTTTTTTCTGTTTGACCTCTGCCTTGGATGAGTGATTTCTGGGCCCCCATTCGCCATTCATGCACTGAACAAATATCATGAAACATTTGCTGTGTGCCAGGGCCCTGCCATGGGCCCTGAGGAGAGAGCAGAGAACTGATACAGGGTCTCTGGCTGTAGCGGCCATACCAGGTGCAGGGGGCCCAAACCTGGTCTAAGGCACCAGGGCAGGCTTTCCGGATGAGGTGTCCCATGAGGATGAAGAGCCCATCACCCAGAGGGGAAGGCGAACAGCAGTTCCAGTTAAGGGGGCAGCATGTGTGAGGGCCCTGGGGCAAGCCAGAGGCTGTCTCTCTGGGCCAGTGGGGGCATTTCCCCGGCTGGATCTCCTGGCACAGATGAAGGTGGAGAGAAGCAGGGGCTGGCTCAGGTGGGGCTTGTGTGGCTAGATCTAGGAGTCTGGATGTCACCCTGGCAGTGGGTAGCCACGAAGGGGGTTTGCTGGGTGGCAGGACCCCTGCCATGGGCTGTGCGGAGGAGGGAGCATAGGGCTAAGAGTGGAGGCAGACAGACTTCTGCAGAGGCCAGGGAAGATGTCCAGGCAGGAGGGGTAGCTGTCTGGACCAGACAGGGACAGAAGTGTCCCAGACATAGCAGGGGCAGGGGTTGATGAGGTGATGGGCTCAGGCTTCCAGAAGGGGGAGGCCAGGAGGCCAGGATTTGGCTTAGACACATGGAAGTGCCTGGCAGGAGGAAGTGCCCAGAAGTAGAACCTGCCTGGTAGAGGTGTTGGAAGCCATTGGCCTGCCCTTCCCCCAAGACAAAAGTGGGGCCAACTGGGTCTGAGCAGGGTCCTCCCTCCCGGGAAGCTTCCCGTCTCCTCACCACCTGGGGGATCTGCACCAGCAAAGGACCCTTGGGGCCCAGAACCGTGCCCTCCTGGGCACTGAACTGGGAGTGGGCGAGTGGACAGACCCACTCAGGCCCCAGGTTCCAGAGCTGAGGCAGGCTCACTGGCTGATTTCGATCCGAAGGGGGGTGCCGTGAAGCATCACCAGGCTGGGGCTGCCTGCACAGAGACAGGGTCACACCGGGGCGGGGCGGGCCCCAGCTGGAGCCTGGAAGACGGGTCCCAGGAACGCCAGCTTCGGAAAAAGCTGGGGCCTGGTTCCCACGGAGGCGCTGGCCCTGCTGTCAGGCAGCAAGGATGTCAATGTCACTTCCTCCCAATCGCTCTAGAAAAAACAAACCAGCTTAATCGTTTACACATGGTGCTCCAGGGAGCTGAGGGGGAGAGCACGGCGGCCCTCCCTGTGAAAGAAAATATATTCAAACACTGCTGTCACTAGTGTGGCCCTAATTGCAGGCTTGCGCGGGCAACTCATGGGCACCCGTCCCAGGGTACCATTTTCCACGAGGATGAGGTACCAGAGGCCTATCCCAGGCAGGAGAATTTGGATTCCTCCTCTCTCTGCCTCCCTTCGCCCGTCTGCCAAACAAGCTTGTGGGAGGGCGCTGCGTGTATCTGCTTCTATTTTTTGTTTGAAATAAAGGAATTTTGAGTTGAGAGAGACAAAGAGAGAAATTGAAGGAAAGGCAGTCTGGCTCTTGCAAAACCCCACACCTGAGAAATAAAGGCCAGAGTTTTGCCTTGGGCAAGGGACTTCTCTGGACCTCAGTGTCCTCCTCTGTAAAATGGGGGTAATGACGGAGGCCGCCTCACAGGATGGTCGCTGGCTCCTGACCCAGCCTTCTCTTGAGAGACGAACTAGCACACCCCAAGTCGCCAGCAGGGGTCACAGCGTAGAAGTTAGCACAGGCCTTCTGGAAAATGTACCCACAGCCATGAGAGTGTTCACAGGCTTTCACCCCATAACCCCAGCGCTAAACCCTTAACTTTAAGAGCCAGTCCAAAATGGGGGGCAAGCCAACCTGGGGCAGTTCATACACACTTTGTAAAAAATCTGGGGAGACACAAACCAAAATGTAAATAGCTTAAATTTTATAGTGGCTCACAACCTATACTTGTCTCTATATTTTCTGTAATGTGGCTAATAACCTTATAAACAGGCCAATGTAATAACCTCAACCACACAAGGACCTCTTTGAGGACAAAAATGTGCTTTCATCCCTTTTAAGTCTCTAGACACATCTTTTCAGTACCTGTTGGTCAGGGAGTGGCCCCCATGCAAAGCTCTTCCTTCACTGCTGTTCCAACCTCAGTCCTGCCAGTCTTGAAGTTTTGTGATTATCAGTAACTCCCTTCTACACAGCAAGTGCCGGCCAGGGTGTGTTTTGAGAGTTTCTCAGCCCTTAGTTTGCATCTTAGAGGTAGGAATGGACTGAGCTTGGGATGTGAGGAGTCAGGGGGCGGCCCCTTGAAATCAGGAGAATATGGCAAAGATTAAGGGGTTTCGCAGATGTAATTAAGGCCCCTGCACCAACTGACTTTGATTTAATCAAAAGGGAGATTCTCCTGGGTGGGCCGGGCCTAAAACCACGTGAGCCCTCAGAGAGTTCAGGTCTTCTCTGGAAGAAGAGATTCAAAACAGAGACGCGCTCCTGCCGCTGTGCTGGGACGAGGGAGTGGCCCCGGCAGCTGGGGGCCCTGCCCAACCGCTGGAAGGAGTCAATTCTGCCTACAAACTGCATGAGCTTAGAAGAGGACAGAGTTCCAGGCGAGACCTCAGCCCGGAGGCCCTCTTGACTGCAGCCTGGGAGACCCCAAACAGAGGACCTACAGAAATTGTAAGAACACAAATGGGTGTTGTTTTAAGCTGCCATGTTTGCGGAAACTTGTTACACAGCATAGAAAACCGTGACAACTGGAGATGGCGCTTGGAAGTCCACCTGGAATTTGGCCTTCCTCTGCCCATGGTCCGTGTAAAGAACCCCCAGGCCCACTACGGAGGAGACATGAAGCCTCTGCTCAAATTACCTGCCAGGCCACAGTGACAGCCTCCTGTCTTACCTCCTTTCAGGCCATTTTGCACAAGTCCACAGATTAATTGCCCTAAATTAATTAATTTAGGGCAATTAATTCATTGCTCAAAAACAGACTTGCTCATATCCCTCCCCTGCCTAAAGCCTCCTGTGGCTCCCCAGGGCCCTCCAGTGAAGTTTAAGGCTCCATCATGGAGCCCTGCTCCGGTTTGTCCCCTACCCCAGATTCCTCAGACCATCCTGGCAACTCCGTCCCTTCTCCCCACCACGCTCCTTCCTCCCACGGTCCCCCCCGCCAGCAGCATCCTCTCCACCCAGCCCTCCGTGGGAGAAAACCCGTACCAACCAGGCTTATGCTGTAGTGTCAACTTTTTACAAAACCCAATTGCATTCTAGACAGTCAGCAGATGCATCCATATGTCTGGGGAGATGTGTGTCCTTTGGAAAAGAATCATCCGATGTTGGAACTTCGTATTTGGAAAAAATAAACTCCTATTGTTTTCATAATTCAAACTTCAAAAAGTGAAGCCGCTCAAAATCTTGGCTGGTGCAGAGACGGAGAGGGGCAGCCACTGTCTGTGGGCGGCTAGGCGGCAGGTTCTCCAGGGAGTAGCGGTGACGAAACACGACCTATCTCACAGTCAATCACTCTTTTGGAGATGGATACATGAATAATATAAATACCATACACTTAATTGCATAGATATACAAATATATCATGCATGTTACATAAAGGGCGCAACTGTATGTAAAAATGCATACTACAAAAATCTGAAAGCCATAAACTATGATATGAATAGTGATTTTCCTCAGGGATGTGGGATCATGGGTGGTATCTATTCTTTACATATACCCTTGTAAATGTCCTTGGCTTGTGTAGTAAAAATTGACAAAACTCTTTATAAAATCCTGTCCAAATTGGAATCACCTTTTTGTGAAGGGCGATATACACCACAAACACAGGCATGCCTTTTGGCCAAGTAATTTTACTTATAGAAATTCACCTTAAAGAATGGATGTGCCCAGAGATTTATGTTTATGCTGATGTGGCCTGGAAAATGAATTATCAACAACAAGGGCAGAGTAAATAAATGATGAAGTTATTCAGGATGATGGAAGCCAGGGAGCTGGTAAAATTCAGGCTATTGACCATCGAAAGCCCTGGGAAGAAGTGCAGATGTATTATTAAGGAAAATCTCAAGCAAAAAGAGCCAGTTCAAGGTGTTGCTACGAGCACAGATGCTACCCACATCTGTGACACACTGACCTCTCCCCTATGCCAAGAAACCCTCAATAAATATTTTTTGTGGTGGAATTCCATCTTGGATATAAGCAATCCTGAATGCCTGTGTCTATACTCTTATGTGCACACGTGCACACACACAGTCATTTTACACACCATTCATTTGCTCAGTAGAAATGCCCTGGGATCCAGCACCCTTCTAAGACCTGGGGACACAGGCGCAGCATGGAACAGCATGGAACAAATCCCTATTCCGAAGAAGCTAGGAAGATGGCATAGGGCCTTGCCAGCCTCGTGAGAATGCAGCCCTCCTCTGAGTGGGGTAGAAGCCACCCGAGGGGCTTGGCACACAGGAGAAGCCTCTGGTTCTGGGCGGGGAGGGGGCCGTGGGAGCTGAGGGCAGGCACCGGTGTCCAGTCAGGAGGCTGTTGCCATGACCCAGGCCCTCAAGGCAATGTGCACAAAGAAATGTCCCAGAGAATCCGGTGTGACCCAAGACAGCCTCTGTATGTGGGAGTGTGGGGTTTCTATTTCCTTCTTTGCACTTTCCTGTAGTTTCTAAACCTTTTACATTGACCATTACCTGTACATATAATTAATGATTTTTTAAAATCCCATCCACCTTTTAGGTTCCAATGTAAATGTTGCCTCTCCTGGGAAGCCTGGCTGGATTCCCACCAGCGGCGACAGACCCCCCTTCTGTGGCTGCCCAAGGCCCGGCCCACCCGGACTTAGAAGGGTCGCTCTTTCCAACCTGGCCAGCCTGGAAGCCGACTCTGAGGGTGGCAGCCCCCCAGGGACACACCCAGAGGCCCCAGGATTCCCTAGATTCTGTGGGAGCTGGACTCTGCCTCCCCCGGGGCCCCCAGCTTGCCCGGGCCTCCAGGACCGTGGGCACAGGCCCCTCTCCCTGCCCTTTGCCTGTTCCTGCCCACCCCCCACACAACAGGGAAGCAAGCTCTCAGAGCCCAGAAAGGCAGTGGGTGAGGGAGTGCCAGGGGTTCTTCCGAGGGCCCCTCATGGGAGACTGCGGGGCCCAGGTGGACTCTTACCTGTCTCACCTGTCTGGGGCCCCCCTTAGAAAGTATGTGTACTGGGGAGGGGGTGAAGTTTCTACGGCATTAGACCAAATTGGCAACAGAGTGAGGCAGGGGCCCCTGCCCACAGCCCGGCACCCTGATCTGGGGTCTGGATGGTGCCCCAGCCTGGTTCTCGCCTTGCCTCCTCACTGAGAGCCCAGGCAGAGCTGCCCACTGACAAAGGCCCTAACGAGGTGCAGCTCCAGCTTCCCAGGGTGGGTTCAGCCCAGAAGTCCTGCCCGCCGCCCGGGGGCTGCAGCTCCGGGTACCCCAGGCTGCCCCTCAGCACCACGTCCCACTGCAATGCCCACACCTCACAGCCCCCAACCCCCGTCAGGAGGCGGAGGCAGCCCCAGAGGGCCGGCCCAAGGTGGAGCAGAGGCGGAACATGCTCTGGAGGAAGGCACGGGGTCAGGACACCCCTGAAGTCAGCTCCTGCTTGGCCCAGAGACGGCTTTGGGGGAGGTGGGGGGGCCTCTGCTCTGCTCACACTGCAGCCCAGGAGATGCCACCGGGTTTCCAGGGCTTGGGCGGGGCAGCTGCTGCCCGAGGCACTCCGGGCCCTTCCCCATTCTGGAGGGTGGGGCGGGGGGGTGGGGAGGCAGGAGCAGAGAACCCGGGGCCCACTTCTCACCTGGAAAAGTTGCTGGCTCCTGCCAGAGGCCCCTGGACAACAACCCAGGTTGACCCTTCCCTACCCTCAGCCCTCAGCTGCCTCTCCCTTGGACCCCCAGCTCCTGGGTGGGGGGTCAGGGCACTGTCCACACCACTCAGGAAGCAAGGGCCACTGCTCTGCTGTCTACCCACCCCAGTGCCCTTCACACAGCCTTCTCAGAGGTCCTCTCTGCGCACAGAACCAAATGCACCAATCCTGCCCGTTTGGCCCCTGCAAGCTTCCCAGCAAGGCCCCAAAAGTCTCAAGACCCTTGCTGCTGACAAAACCTTTGGCCTCATTCCCCACCTCCCTACCTTCCCTCCTCCTCCGCCCCTCTCTCTTCCCAGCTACAGGACTCCAGGAGGCTGAGCTCGCCTTTGCACCTCAATTTCCTCAGCTTGGAAATCTCTCCCAAAACCAGTCTGATTTACCCCCATCTCATGTGAGTTGCCTCCTCCCCCAGGAAGCCCCTCCCCAGTAGGGGTTGGAGGGCTCGCCCCCACCCCCACCCGTTGCTGTCCCTGCGCAGCACAGCATCCCAGGAGGTCCTACAGGTGAGTGAGTGACGGGGCTGTACACAAAGGGTTCATTCTCTGGCTGCCCGCCTTCATCCAGGTCCCAGGCCCACAGCTCCCCACAGGTGTCAGATGCCCTCCTCACCCAGGCCTGAGCTGGGCGCTGTGCCCTCTCAGACCCTCTTTCCCAGGAGGGAAAATAGCACAATACAAAAAATTAGAATATAAACATACCCTGGTCTGCTCCAGCCTTACCACCTCCCAGCTCAGGGATGCTGGGCAAGTCACCTCTCCTCTAGGAGCCTTTCTTCCCTCATCAAAAAGCACCTCCCTCTTGGGATCAGCTTAAGGATCAAGTGAAAAATAAAAACAAAAAACCGCGCCCACTAATGCTCAGCAAACAGTGGGTGTTCAAAACGTGATCCGCCGCTTCCTGTTTCTAGATGTGCAGCTGCGGCCCAAAAACTGCGGGTCATTTCACCACCAGGGGACAGTGTCGTCCACACCCTGCCGGTAAGGGGTCTGGGCAGGAGCCAGCTGGGTTTCTGACGAGGCCTGCTGGGAAGCGCCCACTCTCAGGTCCGTCATTCTGCGGTGGCAGTTCAGAGGCTTCGGGGTGACGGGAGGGGGGCGTGCCCAGACGTAAGAGGGCTTCCCAAGATCATGGAGAAGAGGGGCAGTTCTGGCAGAGGGTTTGGGAAAGTGAGGCATTAGTTAGAACAGCGCCGTGCGCTTCAGGGGGTCCGCCTGTTGGAGCCTCTAGGAGGTGGGAGTGGGCCTCAGAGCAGCCTGCTCGCTTGCCACCTGACTTAACGCCCGGTCAGGGTGTGTGTGTGTGTGTTTGCCAGCGACAGTGCCCTGGCAGTTTGACCCGACACACGCCACTAAAAATGTACAGTGAGCCGGGGCTTCAGGCCAGCTTGGGCAGCAATGGTCACGAGGAACGAGCAGCCAGGAGGCTGTGAGGCGGTGGGCGAAGCTGGTCACACACTCCATTTAATGATTAAAGCCATACATGCCTTATATCAAGTCCAGGAGACACACTCACTCACTCACATACATACATACACATGGATTCCCCACAAGGGTGCACATCTGAGGTCTAGAATGTTCCTTTTAGAGGTTGTTCCTTCGAAGCCCACAGGTCCTTGATTTACTGCCCTTCAGAGTGACTAAACCTTGGGAAGAGAAGGCCATCCTTCCCGTGGGCCCCTCCACCTGCACCTGTGCCGAGGAGGAAGGATCCTGCCAGGGAGTGAGGACCCAGCACAGGCAGTGTCAACAGGGCACAAAGGAGCGTGACCGTGACCCCAGCCTCCTACCTCGAGAAACTCCCTGCATAAAAGAAACTGCAAAATCACATCCTCACACCCGACCTGTCCTGGGCCCTGCCTCTAGAGGGAGCTGCCCTGGCTCCGAGGCCTGGCCACCCCTGGGACGCTGAGGGCAACTTCTAAAAATGTAGATTCCCAGCTCCCCCGAAGCAGAATCTCTGGGAGCGTCTGAAAGGCCCTGCACCCGGATGGCCAGCCAGGTCAGGACGGAGTCTCCCGTGCTCTTCCTGTACTTGGGTATAAAAAAGTAATGCTTTTTATGCTCGTTTTGGGAAGATTTTCTACCGATCTTGACAATTTGATTCTAAATAACTCCAATTGGCCACTTTACCCAGGAATCCAAGGGGCACACACACACACAAGCAAACACTCAAGGGTCCTACTGGGCCCAGGATCTCACACACAGCAGGAGGCCAGGAAACCAGTCCCCAGGGACTATCACAATCTGGAAAGGACTGTCTGGTCCTCCAGGCACAGCCCTGGTGGCTCGTGGGCAGTGGTCTAGCATCCCAGGAGGTGTCAGCTGCTGGTCACAGGTGGTGGGCTGCCTCCCAGATGATCTGTAGGGCCATGGAGGCACAGGGGAGCTGGGCCACGGTGTAGGCCAGCGAGCGGGTAGGCGCCCGCAGCTTCCCCAGGTAGGCCACCGTGTGGACCACGCGGCCCAGGAAGAAAACAAGGAAGTGCATCTGGGCAACAAAAGGGTTAGGTCCCAGGAAGGAGTAGACGAGGCCCAGGAACAGGAAGGGGTAGATGGTCTCCATGTCGTTCCGGTGAGCCCTGGGAAGGCAAAGGGGTGCGGTCAGCCAGGTTTTGGGAGTGTCGCAGAAGCTGGGGCCCCCTGCCCTGAGAGGCCCCACATCCCTGGGGATCATCTCAGGTGAGACAGTCTGAAGTCGGTTTATGGCCAGGACAAGATGATACCACAGAGGCAGGAGGGACAGTGTCTCCAAGATAACGCCTGCCAGCAGCTGAGAAGCTGTTAATGGGCTAGGAGCCCTGGGGGGACTACTGGCTGGGGTTTTCTTGCCAAGCCCAGGGCTCACCAGGACCTGGCCCCGCCATGCCCTCCCCCGTCTTCCCCTCTAGCTCTGGACACCAGGCGGGAAAAGTGGGCTCCAGAGGTGGACAGTTGGGTGGAGCCTGGGTCTGACTAGAGCAGGTGCCCTGTGTCCCCAAGGCAGGGCTTCTCTGAGGCCACCCTCCTTCCGAATGCAGGGGCCTGGGCCTTCCTGAGTGCATGGCCTTAGAGCTTGGAGCATGCGCACCTGAAACCCAGGCCTGGCTCTGCCTTATTCTGTCCCTAAATATGAGGGGCCCCCCACCCCATTTCAGAGATAGTGACAACAGCCTCCTCTTGCTGAAGCCGCCCAACCCTGGTGAAGCTCATTTCATCCCTACTATCCCGCTTCTTTTTTTGTTTAAAATAACCAAGTGTGTGAGTATGTGTGGTGGGGTGGGACGGGGGTGTGTATGCTGTGTATAACCCCGCTGTAAATAAATGACCAAGAAAACTCACCCACTTCTGCTAAGAGTCAGTTCACATTTTCCATGACTCCTGCTAATGGGCAGTTTCCTTTACAGAGGATGGGAAGGTTGAATCCCGTAAATTAGAGACTGAGCAAGCAATGGAAGCCATAGTGGGCATGTTGAAAGAATAAACAGGAACCCAGTGCCTGGGCCGTGACCTTCTCTAAGGACAGGCTGCACGTGTGAGGCACGGGGGCTGTTCTGGAACCAAGTCCTTCCAGCTGGAATGCATGTCACCAATAGCACACCAAGAGGCCAGGCCCGGCCCCAGAGCCCGTGTGGTGGCCTGCTACAGTCTCCTCTTCCCTCCCACTTGCAAGGATCACCTTAGGCAAGGGCCTGACCAAAAGGAATTGGGCTGGGCCAGGGCAGGGAGAGGGCCTGGGGTGCTCAGCAAGCTCATGCCGTAGGGGTCTCGACAGCATGACTAGGGTGGGTGTGGTCAGGGAAGGAGATGTTTGTGCTGAAGCCTGAAGGAAGAGGGGCCATCCATGCAGGGGAAGAACTTTCCAGGGGGAGGGATTGGCATGTGCTAAGGCCCTGAGGTAGGAATGAGCATAGTGTGTTCAAGACAGACACAGGAAGATGACCTGTGTGGCTGCAGTGCGGTGCAGAAGACGGAGCAAGGCAGGATAATAGTAGGAATGGGGCCTTGTGGAGCAGGATAAGGAGTGTGGAATTCAATCTGAGTGTACAAAATCCCCCATAAACCCAGCAGGGCCCAGATCTGTTGTAGGTCAAACTCAGGGCACTGCAGTTGGTGCCTCTGTCCCTGTACCCTGGATCCAACATGAGCCTGCCTTCTCCTTTCCTCCCAAGTTTCAGCCCGGGGACTCAGCCCCGAGGAAAGCAAGTGTGTAACAGGGCAGGTCTCACCCTGTTGGGGAAAGGCTGCTTCCTGCCCACGCCAGAGACAGGCAGGCCCTGGCCAGATCCCGGCCGCAGGGAGGGGGGCGCCATGACGACCAGGGCCACTCCAGCCCCCAAGTCAAGCAAGTCCCTTACTTGTTAGTTATGAAGGAGGAGGCTGCAAGCATTCCTCTAAAACTGCTCCAACCTGTGGAAATGGAGCTGTTATCCCAACATCCCACCATATGCTATTAGAGGGAAGCCCTTTGGAAAACCTACTTTAGATTAAGTTGGCGTGTCCCAGAACGTGGTCTGCCTACCACAGGTGACCCACGAGTTGGTGCCACCTGGTTGAGCATTTCTACCATACTTATGTATTTATCTGAAAATTTCAGGGAAAGCGTAATTAGCAGTGAAACCCATTCATTTAGATACTTTTCCATAAAGTAGATATTCACATTTTCAGAGTGAGTCAGTTTTTAGAAAGCTGTGAAGAGAATTGTCAGCCAAACCCCAAAGAGCAGGTGAGGGCAAGAAGTCAGGAAACACAGGGTAGAGAGCGGGGGTGAGGGCACCCGGGTTCAAGGCTGGCACAGGGAGGGGGCAGCCCCTGCGGAAAACCAGCGCCCCCGTAGCTCCAGCACCTGGGACCAGAGGCCTCACCGGTGAGGGCGGAGAGGTGACCGGTGGCCAAGAGAGCCTTAGGGCTCTGGCCCCAGCCCTCCCTCCCCCCCCTCTCGTATGTCTCAAGCCACAGTGGGGCCTCCATCAAGCCGCAAGTGGTGCCCCGGAAGAGAGACATGAGGAAAGCAGGGATGACGAAACACCCGTTCTGCTCCCCCAACCCCAGGACTCGAGTTGGGAGACACGGAGGGAGGCACGTACTGGAGCCAACTGGGCAAAATGTGTCATTCCGAAAATAACTACCGTTTGAGGTAAAAGTCACCTGCAGCAAATTCCCACTAGACTGGACTTGCCGGGCCTCCTGCCCCATCAGGCCTGCCCACCCCCTCCCCACACCAGCCAACACTGCAACACAGGCTGCGTTGTGCCGCATCAGGTGACGGTGGGGGACAGGGAGACCGACAGTTACCCATGGCACCCCTGGCAGGGACATTCCCTTCCCCCAGCCCTCCTCCCCAGCCACACTGATTTCCTTGAATTCAGGTTTGATACACATCATAGCTGCTCAGTTTGAAAGATGGGTATAGAACAGAGGGTAATGGAGTTCGTGCAGAGGGAGAGCATTTAGGGGCAGAGCCCGCGTGTCAGGCGGCCTGGGCTTGGCCACCCTGCAGCCGCTGTGATCTGGGCGGCCTGGGGCAGCCTGTTTCTTCCTGTACAGATAAGAGTACCCTCCTCAGGACTCTGGCGGGAGGGCCGAGCCCCATAGCTGGTGTCCGTGGCGTGCTCAGAACCCTGCCCGACACCAGAGGTGCATCCTGATTTAGCTGTCTTCTCTTGTCGTCGCTACCGTCCCTAGCCCAGTCCTGGACACAACTGTTAAAGCTCATTTCACCCTCTCCGTTTTGCCTGGCTCCCAACCACCCTCAGGCACTTTGGCTAAAGGAAAAAAACCACAAACGGAGGGCTCAGTGTGGAGCCTGCAGCTCTGCTGCGGTGCTTAGGAGCTCACGGCCCCTCGCAAGTCTCTCTCCCTCTCTGGGCCTCCGTTCACCAGCCACAGAAAGAGTGCATTCAATGTCTGAGGGACTTGTGGGGCTGAGATTTGTTCACTCAGATTAAGTCTACGCCCTCCAAATAGCCAGGAACATTCCACAGCATACGGCAAGTGTTTGTCTTCCACTTTGTCATACACCCTTCAGCGCTCTTTTCATACACACGGACTCGGAATTTGGCGCAAACACCCGTAGCCAGGACATCTGGGTAGGCATCGTGAAAGACGGGTGGCTGGGCTTCACCAGTTCCCTTGAAACTTTTTTTTGACTCCAGCATGTGCCGATCTGCAAGGCAGATTTATCCTCCAAGAACCAAGACCTAAATGCTTTCCTGTTTGTGCAAAAGGGTGACCCTGACTGTACTATAAACTCTGCACTAATATTTAACTAACTTTTGCTTCCAGGGCATCCCCCCTCCAGGCTCCAGCCAGTTCTCTGGTAGTGGGTGACAGGATGTGTGACTCTCAGCTTTGTTCCCGTGATGTTATGTGAAGTCAGGAGGAGGAGGCCCAGGAACACCCGGGTGTGGCATGGTGAGTCCCTGATAAACACCGGTGCACGGTGGGCCCCCGGTGAATACTCAACGAATGGATATTAAACATTCTTAGGTAAGAAGTGCTCAAAAAGCACTGGATTGAATTTCAACCATTCGCGCATCAGTACTATATAAATGGAGAGTCACTTTGATCCAAAGAAAAATTGTACTGGGCGGGAGGAAACAGCTCATCACCACCTGGGTCTGTTGTCTCTCCCTGGCATGGTGACAGCCAGTACAAATAAACCAAGCATTTGTAAGCCCATGTAACCACTCCTGTACCGTAAGTCAGCTTTGCTCCCTAGAACCCACAAAGCCTGAGAGAAACCGAACACGCCCCCTCGGTGGCTGCTGTGAGTGGGTTCAGGCTGTCCACAGTCATGGAGGCCTTCTTTCTCGTCCTGTCCTTCTGCACCGCCCGGGAGAGGCAAGCCAAGCAGGGCTGAGGGTGTGCTAGCGTCCAAAGGATGGATTCACATATAGGTAATTACGGCTTGAGTTCACTAAAATACTACTAGTGCTTAGCAGTGCGCTGCACATAGTAGGGGCTTGTTAAATGATGGATGATGGATGGACAGAAGGACCTCCTACAAAGGACTGTGGTTGTATTAGAAAGGCTGAAATTGCAAAGAATTTCACTTCCTACATTACACATTTCTGCAATTTTTAAAACCACAAGTATATATGTCATTTTCAATGGCCAAGAAAACCATAAAAAAAAAACCCACAGACCTTCTTTCAATAAAAGCATCTCCATTATTTATACTGTTGCATTCCACCCATTTCTGCCTGTGATTGTAGGAATGTGCCAAGGACTAAATGAGGGCTGTTTCCTGTCTCACCCCTGTCCAGCTACCTGTCCCCCCACCTCTCCACCCAATACCACTGACAACCCCGTCCCCTGGGAGTGCCACCTCCTCAGTCTCCAGCTCACTGGTTTAAAAGGCCAGAAAGGAAACTGTCAAAAAGTCCAACATTGAGACCAGTTACATGAAATGAACGCCTAGACTCTGATGGAATTTCACACAACCATTTCTTAAGAATCATTTCTTGAGTACTATTTACTGTCATGAAAATGCTCCGGAAATAATGTTAACTGAAAAAGAAAAATTTGGAACCCTCAATTGGGTATAGCATGCATGCCTAATTTTATGAAAAATATTTAGACATCAAAAACAAAGAGGAGCTAGATGAAGATGTGAACAGTGATTAGAATTGTGAGTGATTTTTCTCTTTTCCTCTGTATTTTCAACATTACCCAAATTGTCTGCAATGAGTAGTTCTGATTTTTATAATAAGAAAAATTGTTTTTGATTGACTGGGGGATGCTAAACAGATGAAATGATGTCCAGCTTCACTCAGAATAAAAGAGATGCAAAGTAAAACCAAAGGAGACGCATTTTCAACTATTACGTTAGCAGTGTGTCCATTCGACAGTGGCCACATTGAAGTGGCAGGGGCATAGCGGACCATCTCTCACACCAGCAGTGGAGTGGACTGTGCACCATTTGGCAGTATTTCTTACCATCTGATGGCAGTCTGCAGTTGTGCTCACATATACACACAAATGAAAATGAAAGAAGGTTTGAGGCACTATGCATAACAGAGAAGACCAGGAACAGCCCACTGACCATCGGAGGGAAACAGGTTAGAGAAATTAAGGATCATCCATCTAACAGAGTGATGGCAATAAATGCTATGCACCAGTAGGATGTGCGCCTCCCCTCTAGAGCGGATGTGAAACAGTCTCTGCTGTTATGTGAAAAAGCACAGTGCTGACTCGTAGGCAAAGGGTGGTCTTTTGGGGCTAAAAATGAAAAAGCAGAGCAAGTGTTTGGAAGTGCAGAAAGTGACCCAGAAAGGTACATGGGACACTGGTACCAGGATTTGTGCCTAGAGAATAGAACTGGGTCTGAGGTGAGAAGGACACTGAATTTTCACTGAATATCCCTTTCTAATTTTGTAATCCTGAGCCACGAGCACATATTATTTTTCTACAATTAATTAGGAATTAAGTCAATGAATACATTCAAACAGCCCGAGGGGATCAGGAAGGCAAAAGACCTTGGCTCCCTGTCCTTTGATCCCAGGTGTTCAGAAGCGGTCAGACGTGGCCAGGCAGAGGCCCAAAGTTACTTGCCTGAGGCAGCGATCCACATCCTGGTCACTCCGGCAGTACTGGAGGCCTCCGTGTCTCATGGCATCCTCGGGGTTGGCAAAAGCCTGAAATACATCAGCTGAGAATTACAGTTCATGAGATGGACGGCCTGGTCGCCTGGGTCCACAGCAGACAGTCACACACACGTCCATTCACCAGTGTCGATGAGCTCCTGCTGGGTGCCCAACGCTGGGACTCATCACAGACACGGCTGCTAGGGGCTGAATGTTTGTATCCCCGGAAAATTCCTATGTTGAAACCTAACCGCAGTGGGATGTATGTGGAGGCGGGGCCTTTGGGAAGGGATTACATCACGAGGTGGAGTCCTCGCAAATGGGCCCCACAGCACTCGCTTCTCCCTCTAACCAGGTGAGGACACAGCGAGAAGACAGCCATCTAGGAACCAGGCACCGAATCTGCTGGTGCCTTTATCTCGGACTTCCAGCCTCCAGAACTGTGAGAAATAGATTTTTGATGTTTATATGCTGTCCAGTCTATGGTATTTTGTTACGGCAGCCAGAAAGGACTGCAGCAAAGGCCTTCCTGTCCTTGCTCTTGTGACACTCACAGACTGATGGAAGAATTCCCTAGGAACCAGGGAAGGTCAGGGGGTAACTATTAAGAGAAGACAAGGCTGTCCTTGAGAATGTTCACAGGAGACCTGACTGAGTCTAGGCTCAGAGAAGGCTTCTCTGAGGCAGTGACTAAAGCTGAGGCTTGACGGGTGCATCCACATTAACCAGAAGAAGGGCGGCTTGGGGCAACAGCATTCGCAGCCCAAGAAACAGCACGTGCAAAGGCCCTGTAGTCAGAAGATGGGCATGTTTGAAAAATAGAAAACCAGCATGGCTGGAGCATAGGAAGCAGGAGACAAAGATCTAGGATGAGGTTGCAGGACTGACTATAGGTTCCTGAACTTCCCTGAGCCTCAGCTTCCTCATCTGTGAAGTCTGGATTGAACGGAGCTCATCTGTCCTGTGAAGAGCAAAGGAGAGAACTGGAGAGGCCTCAGGCACACACGTGGCACAAAGAGAGCACCTGTTGAATGGTTAGAGGACCAAAGAGCCCCCAGGTCAGTTTCAGGTCATGAAGGCCGCCTATCACTCAAGCTCTACCTCCCCCTGGCATGCGGGCAAGCCAGCCCCACCAACCCGCAGCAACCCTGAATCTCAGCAGGTTTTCTAAATCACTTGTCCAGGAGCCCTTGTGACACACGTCTCCAAGCGCTGGTTTGTCCTACCTAGTGGGCCTGCCCCTGCTCCACCCAGAGGTGAATGCAGCCAGGCCTGATGCCTGTCACAGTCAGAATCAGAGACCCCCACACCCGGAATGCCTCTCTGCTGGCCCAGAATTTCCAATAAGTCACCAATTCTGATGGCCCTGCACAGAGTCTGGACAATCAACCCTTCAAAGGGTCTTAACATTTAGCAGGCAGCTGTCTTTGGGGTCCACAGTCCACCTTGAAGATAGAACTGGAATACAAGTTGGCCGGGCCAGGAGCTGCACTGCAGACCGGAAGGGCCCCTGTCGTCAGTGGCTGGAGCAAGGGGGGTCAGGGGTGGGCGGGGCAGGCTCAGGAGGCGCTCCCCCTGACTGTCTGCAGCTGCTGCCTTCACATTCATTCCAGTTGTTTGTAAGGAATGAGAACCATCATTGGGAGCATTTGCTCTGTGACAGGCCCTGAATTCTCCTGGTTCAACTGTGACTGTCCCCAGGTGATGGACAAGGAACCCAAGACTTGCCCGGGGTCCAAGGCGGGGGGTGCAGGAGCCAGAGCAGCTCCAGTACCCTCAGTGTCTGCCCCCGCCCCCTGGGGTGAAGCCCCCACCCCCCACCCCCGGCTCCTTCTGGCTAACTCCAAAAGAATGCGGAAACTTGTCAATGTAGGAGCACCTTGGGGACAGCCTGAGAAAAGGTCAGCCCCTGACCGGGCAGAAAGGCTGACAGGGCAGTTTATCTTCGACCTTCCCTCAATCCAGGTCAGAATGAAAGCCCTGCCCTTTACCTCACCCTTATGGGTGCTTCAAGACAGGATGTGGGCCCTGGAGCTGGACACCAGGTTCAAACCCAGCTGTGTGACCTTCACAGGTAATGTCCCGTCTGAGCCCAGGCACCTCACCTGGAAAGCAGGTGAATATGGGCTGAGGTGGAGATAACCATTCAGCTCCATGGAAGGACTCAGTGGGTGAATACGGCTGTCCCTGCCAGGTGCGTGCATCCCACATGCCAGGATGGGCCACGGCAGGGAGCAGGCAGAGGTGCCATGTGCCACTGCCCCTGAGTGTCATTTTACCTGGGGAGCTGCTTTGCCTTGTAAGTCTGCCTGTACCTGCACCAGGGGCTGAGTCCAATTCCCGGGCAAGAGCCCCATTCTGCAGCGCCCATCCACCATGCAACATCAGAGCCAGCCTCGCCTTGCCTTTGAACTGGACAAAGGAGGCCAGGGGGCACCATTTCTGGAACCAGTTCCTCTACTGAAATACCTAGGAGGATAATCAACAGGTACCCCCCAGCCTCTCTGCATCTAGCAGGACGGCTGGCAGACCCAGCCCGCAGAGGGTCACTGGAATGGGCGGTCCCGCCCACCGCTATCACAGCTCAGATCTCAGCCTCTTTATTGTTATTTCGGCTCAGGGCTTTCACTGATGGGAGAAATTCCTCCCCAAAAACGCCAGCAAAGCCTGGAGGAGCCCCCAGAGGCTGCAGAGGGTTGGGAAGCGACCTTGCCATGGAGTTGGGAATTTCCACTGAAAGGATTCTCATGCTCCAGTGTCGCCAGTTCCCACTCCACCCAAGTATCAGATCTCCTGTGCCGGGAGGCGGGCAGGTCAGACAGGCTGTGTGTACGCTGTCTTGCTCCACCCTCTGGGACCTGCTTCCCTCTGAGCAGCGTTCACACACCAAGAACTTACCTTGTGGCACGGCAAGTGAGTAAATGCTCTTAAAACAGAGGGCAAGAAGTTGTGGGCCCTGCTGAAACCCAGGGCCGCTGCAAAGGACCAGAAGGGGCACGTAGGTCCCAAGGGGACTCACACTGTGGCCCTGAAAACACCTTTGTCAAGCTTCCCGTCCCCAGACCTTCCTGCAGGGCAGGGAGAGAAGCAAGCGCGCACACGGGGCTGGGGTGCCCCGGGGCGACACGTACCTTCTTCCGGAGCCTCACTTGGCCCGTAATGACAGCCACCACGTACATCTTGAGCACCAGGAGCGTGCTGCAGAGCAGGAAGGCGGGGAGCGCCTGGCCACTCACCAGCGCCAGGCCGGCGGCAGGCATCTCGGCGGGAGCTCTGGGGGACGAGAGGGCTTGCCGAGCCTCGGAGAGCAGGGAGGAGGCGGGGAGAGCCAGAGGCGGCCTGTCGGCCCTTGGCACCTCCCACTCCCGGCGGGTGGGAAAGGCAGAGGGCCGGGAGGTGCTCCCAGCCCCGCCCCTGGCCCGGACCACCCCTCCCTGGCAAATCCTTCAGCCCTTTCTAATTTCCTCATCTGTAAAATGGGAGTGTACAGCCACGCCTGACTTCTGGGGGCGCAACAAAGCTGGGCACCTGGCAGGACCCCCACCGGGTGCAGATGTTGCTGATCTGTGCCCACCTCCCTGAAGGTCAGGGCAGGTGATGGGCACAAGAACGGAGCCTTCTGCCCCTACACTCAGCCTGGACACGTGAGCCACAGCCCTGCTTATACTGATGTGACTGCTATTTATAGTAGGCTGAATAATGGACCCCAGGGATGTCCATGTCCCAATCCCCAGAACCTATCTATGATTGTGTCCTTGTACGTGGCAAAAGGGACTTTGCAGGTGGGATTAAATACAGTTCTTGAAATGGGAGGTTATCCTAGATTATCTGGGTGAATCCAATTTAATCACAAGGGTCCTCCTGAGAGAGAGGCGGTGGAATTAGGGAGAAAAGATGTAGAGACAGGGGCAGAGGTCAGAGTAGAAAGGAGATGCTACACTGCTGGCCTTGGAGATGGGGGGCCGGCCCTGAGCCAAAGAAAGCAGGTAGCCTCTAGAAGCTGGAAAAGACCACTACGTAAATTCTCCACTAAGGTTTTCAGAAGGAACCAGCCTTGCGGATGCCTTGACTTTTGCCCACTGGAATTGGTTTTAGGCTGCTGGCCTCCAGAACTGTAAGATAATACATTTATGTTGTTTAAAGCCATGAAATTTAGGGCAATCTGCCATAGCAGCCGTAGGAAACGTGCCCACTATTCCACTGCCTTCTTAAGCATCTCTGTTCTTCTCTGGGAGATTCCCAGGCAGATGGTTTGTCATAGGAACTTCCCGAAAGATCTCTCAGCTCTTCAATCGGAAGCGCCAGCAGCTTGTGCCCTAAAAGTCTTTGAATCCCTTGCTTCAGAAGCCTCACTTTGTTGTGTCCTCCCCCCCTGCCATGTGTTCTTTTCCTAGATATATATACAATAGCTACAGTACTATATACAGAAGTAATAGTGACATAATTTCATTCGGGTTCCCAGACCCCATTCCAATGTGTGTGGGGGGGAGGGGGCCTTCCAACACATAACACCAAGCAATTCTCCAACACCAGCAGGTTGGTGGAGAAAACGCAACTCAATTTTGATGCTGTCTGCCCAGAGACAGCACCAGATTCCCCAGGTCAAGGGCTCCATCCTACAAGACTGCCCCTCATCCCCCACTCCAGGTGCCGGTCACAAGCCCCAGGCAGTTCCCCGTGCTTCTGACCAACTGGCTAACAGATTGGAGGTTCCCACGACCTCCCCCTTAGGTTCGATTAATTTGCTAGAGTGGCTCACAGAACTCAGGACAACACTTAACGTTTACCAGTTTAATAAAGGATACCATAGAGGGTACAATTTAACAGCCAGATGAAGACAGACACGGGGCATGATCCTGAATAAAGGAGCTTCTATCCTCGCAGAGCCTGGGGCCTGGCTCCGTGGCACCTGGAGGCGTTCTGGCTCCCCAGGCAGAGAAGCTCTCCAAACAATTAAGCGGATCCTAGAGAACCCAGAGGGATACTCTTCTCAGCTGTTCTTGTGTGGGCTTCGTTGCATAATCAGGATTGACTAAATCATTGGCCATTGGCTGATTCAGCCTCTACCTGCCCCTGCCTCTGGGGGGTCCAAAAGTCTCTCATTAACATGATAAGACACCCATCTCACCTTTAAGGCTCTGAGTGTTTTCAGGACCTGTGGACGAGGATCACATACACCTGGGGAATACATATGTGGCCATCTGAGTGACCACGTATGTACTTCTTGTGACTCATGGTACCACACTCCCCTTCACTCCCTTTTGGGAGCTGGGGGCGGGCCCTGGGCAAAGGCAGGAATCTTGTCCCTGTAGTTCTGTCAGCACCCCTTGCTTTGCTGGGGGACACCCTGGGGAGATGGGGGAGATGGAAAAATCAGTCTCCTGTGCCTTCTCCACTCTTGGGTCTGCCCAGAGGGACCTCAGCGTCAGCCTGGCCTGTGCCCCAAAGCAGCAGGGTGTTGGAGAAAACTCAATTCAATTCTGATTGCTGTCTGCCCAGCATAAGAATTTGCTGTCTGCAAATTAAAGCAGCAGGACTGGCCAGAGAGCAAAGACACTAGCCATGTGCTCTGCAGCCAGACTCAGCTGGCATCAAACCCAAGACCAGCTGTCCATGGCAGCTGTGTGGCTTGGGATAAGCAATTGCCTTCTCTGAACCTGGCTCCTCAACTGGAAAACACAGCTGATAGCAGTCACCCAGCAGCTGAGAAAACTGAAGGAAATCCTATCTAATGACTAGGCACCAGGACATAGTAGGTCCTCCATGAGTATGAACCTCTGAGCCTCAGTTTCCTCCTCCTTGAAGTGGTGATAACAACCCTAACCTAGCAGGATTGCCAGGAGAGGGATGCATAGAAACCCCTGCCCTCGCTGCTGGGGCCGTGGGCTGGGGTGTGGGCCATGCGGGTGGGGGCTACCGCTTGTCCATTTGCTATGTGCCAAGCCTTCCTTTATCTGGGCATAGGACGTGCTGGCAAACCCTCACCCGTGTTCCTGAAGCGTGGGGCAGCCAGGCCAGGTTGTTCCAGCCCCACAAGATAAGTGATAGGTCACAGTCAGGGTCAGGCGATAGAAAGCATTGGATGTCCTGAATCATGTCTCCTCTCTGACCACATGTCGGGAGGAATTGTGCAATCTTGGTCCTTGCTGATATTTTATCTGAGAACAGAGGATGCCTGCGTCTCTTGGCCCCCAGCTTTGGGGAACCACTGGAGCTGGCTGTCTCCCTTGTCAAAAAGCTCAGTTCTGAGGTTGGGGTCTAGTAACTGCACCACTCCCAGAATCATGAACCAGAGACAGCCCAAGAGGGGACCCAGGGTGTCCATCCCTCCTCGAATGAGGGGGTGTCCCTGCCCTGCTTGGTCTTCTGAAACACCTATTTATCAGCACGTGGAAAACCAGCAAGGGCAGGGAGTGGCTATTACCTTTCATTACCTGGAGCCGAGAACACCAGGGATTCCGTGGGGAAGCCGTTCTGACTGATGGTGTGGCGTGGTGGTAGGAATCTTTTCCTCATTGCCTGCTGAAGTGAACCAGTTAAGCCAGGCTCCGGAGAGGACAGACCCTGCTCTGATCTTTGGCCAAGAATCCCCCTAGAGCCTTCCTCAGTCAGTGAAAGTGCTGGTGTTGTTTTGGTGGTGGTGATGATGGCTGTTACTTTTCTCTTTTTCTCTGAGCTCCTGTTCTGTTCTTTGCTTGCAAAATGGGATTGGTGTCCCTGCCTTGGAAGGGGTGGGGGCCAGGAGATGGTGTGCGCAGAGCCCTGAGCCAGGGTGGGGGAGGGTTGCTCACCGTGGGCCTGGCCTGGAGGCCCAAGTGAAATGCAGGGGTGCTGCTCAAAAATAAGGCCCTGGGAAGCCTCGAGAATGTTTTATATCTTGACCTGGGGGCTAGTTACCCAGGTGAATGTATATGTAAAAGTTCCCCAACACGTATTGTCAAAAGCTGTTACTTCACTGCATTAAAAAAACAAAACCCACAGGATTCTCCCATGGCAGTTTACAATCCTGAGCAAAGAGGGGCCTCTGTGTCTAAACCACCCTGTGGCTTCCTTCAGCTCCCCCTCGCCGGCATTTCCTGAGGATCAGAGACACAGCTCTTCTCGGTGTTTAATTGTCTGTGACTTCAGAGGACGCTTAGAGAGGAGGAAGTGGCTCCACCTCGGCCACTGGTTCCTGACCTTGGTGAGTACAGCTGGGGAAACTCAGGGATTAAAAAAAATGACTGTCCCTGAAGTGACCTTTGAAGTCAGATCTGTATTGTAGTAATCGCACAGCCATCAACCCTTCTTTGGGACACAGCGTTTGTGAAATGCAGTCTGTGGTCTCTGAACGAGGTGATGGGAAAAAGTAAATTAGTGAGCACTTCAGTGGCTCTGTAGCCCCTCCTGGGGCACAAGCCCACAAGGTGAGCAGCCCCCAGCCCCTCGACTCCCCTAGGGCTGAGCAATTCATTGAAGGACTGCTGTTTTTGTCTGCCAATTGACCCGTCCCTCCTACATCCTCTGGGAAAACACACCTTTTCTTTGGGGAACTGTACACCTATTGTCTGTAATTCTGGTGGGGCAGCCAATTGGACTACTTCTCTTCTTGGTATGGGGTGGCCATGTGACCCAGACCAGCCAATCACAATGTTCCTGACACCTGGCCCCTGTGATTGATCCAAGCAGAGCCAATCAAAGACCTTCCCTGGGAGATTATATTCTGACCCCTTGTGGCTCCAGGACTGGGCCCTGGGACCCAACTGGCCTGAATGTGGCAGCCATTTGCCCTCCCCACAGGGAGGGGGCCTGTATTCTAGAGGAGACAACAAAGGCTCAACATCTGACTCACCCAAGCCTAGGATCTAGGGGTTTCCTTTTTTACTTAAACAAAACATCAGTCAAATCACATCTCTCCTGGGCTCCAAACTCTGCAGTGGCTGCCATCTCACTCAGAGTGAACGTCAGAGTTTGGACGGTGGCCCATGACCCCGTCCCATCTGGTCCCCATCTGGTTCTCCCTGAATTCCTTTCCCCCTCCCCTGTCCCTCAGTCAGCCCAGTCACGCCGCCTTCCTTGCTGGACCTTACAGACCGCAGACACTGTCCTGTCTCTGGGCCATTAACTCTGGCTGGTCCCTCTGCATGGAATTCCCTTCCCCCTGGCATCCACTGAATTGACACCTCATCTTCAAAGCTTTGCTCACATCTCAGGTCCACCCTGATGGCCCTAATCAGTTCTGCACATGGTCCCCACCCCAGCACTCCTGCAGCCTCTACCTGCCTCTACTTTCTCTTTTCTTTCCATAGCACATCTTCAGTGACACACCATATAATTTATTTGTCTTCCTTACTATCTAGCG